CTAGCACTCGGCTTTTCCAAGCGCGTCCAGTGGACGTGCACGGCTTTTGGATCTTGAAGTCAACCATTTTCCGTCGTTCCCTTATCTGGACTGACTTGGGATGAATAATAAAGCTCTTTATGGCATCTACTATGGCTCTTGCTAGAGAAGGGGAAACCGAAAGTAAGATTAAGGCAACCTCAGCATTTCCAATAGTTGCTGACACAGGTGGCGAATGTGGCGCCGCCTGAAGATGAACATGAGAAATTAATTAACATCTATTTTATTTGTATTAATCCTTATAAATGTAAATAATATGATTAATTAAAGGGGAAAAAATAAGAATGAAAAACAGCTATCCAAATATTTCTAGATAGTTTTGATTGTGAAATTCCGAGTCTTCGATATGCACATGGCCTAGCCGAAATCGAGAAAGCGTCAGTGGAAATGTCTTTAAAATACTGCATTATAGATGTCCAGAAGCCAGGATTTAAATCCTAGTGTGATAACAAATAGTAGTTTATACATCTAGAAATGACACCGAACAGAAATATTACTGTTAAATCGGTCTGCAATTTTATGGGCCTCTAAGTTATCGTGTCTGCATGCAAGAGGAGAAACTCCTCCGGTCTCAACCTAACGCTAAAAGTTACCCTTTTCCTCGACAGACGGCAAGCCTGACCCGGAGTTTGTCCGTCTGGGTTCGGTCGTGGCCAAGCTCGCCTGCACCATGACCCTGGGCGTTGTGCACTACATGTCATGCAACAAGTTGGCGTGGCACTTAGCTAACACCCAGCAGCAGGACCGGCAGATGCAACAGCAGGAAGAGGAAGAGGACGCCGCCGCCGGGAGGAGACCCAAACAACCTTGGGAAAAGAAAGGAGTGCTGTCGTGGCCAGCGGAGTTCGCCATCTACTGCTGGCAGCTTCTGTCCATTGGTGAGTGGACTTGGAAGTCAAAGTAAGGTAGAAGAACATTTGATTTTATTAATAAGCCGAAAGAGCCAAAAGACCCGGACCTACTTAGTTTTCAAGTAAAGGCAAAAGTCAGTCGTCTAAATATATCTATCTATCTATCTATCTATCTATATATATATATATATATATATATATATATATATATATATATATATATATATATATATATATATATATATATATATATGCAAATATATATGTATGTATATATGTATATATATATGTATATATATATGTATATATATATGTATATATATATATATATATATATATATATATATATATATATATATATATATATATATATATATATATATATATATATATATATATATATATGCATGTACATATACTACATATATATGTGTATATGTATATATCAAATATATGTACACATAAAAATATGTACACATATATACGTATCTGTCTATATCTATCTCTCTGCTTCTCTGTACATATATATCTCTATCTATCTATCTGTCAATATATATTTGTGTCTGTCTATGAATAATGTATACATATACACATACGTACATACATACATATACATACACATTGTGTGTGTGTGTGTGTGTGTGTTTGTGTGTGTGCGCGCGCACGTGTGCGTGCGTGCGTATATTCATTTACCAGTAATTCGAATATAAAGATCTTATTATGGAGACGGCAATGATAACGATTATAAGGGTAATAAATGGCAATTATAACACGAATGATGATATGGTCATCACCGCTGATACTTCACAGAAGTAACAGCAATCGCTGCCCCCGCCATAACCTCCCTGCAATTCCATTCACTCGATTCATCTTTCCGAGTCACTAACCCCCTCCTTCCCTCCGGCAGGTTCTCGCGTCGTGGCCTACGCCCTCTTCTCGGTGGTCCACTTCCGCCTGCTGTGGGTTCCCATCATGCTGCGCTGGATGATCCACTCGGTGTGGATCTTCTTCGACGTGCGGGAGATGTCCATCGTGAACTCGATCGCCTTCGGGGGCGTCTACCTCTTCTCCTTCGTCACCACGTCGCCCGGACGGCAGGTAGGGGGCCCTCCTCCTCAGGATTCGGGGGTCAAGGTTATCACGAGCGAATGATGATCATGACGAGCTCCCATGTGTGTGTGTGTGTGTGTGTGTGTGTGTGTGTGTGTGTGTGTGTGTGTGTGTGTGTGTGTGTGTGTGTGTGTGTGTGTGTGTTTATATTCGAGTGTACAATATACATCATCCTTCCCCAGATCCTGCGAATTCTCCTCTACTACGTCATCACCTTCGGCGAAAACATAATCATCGGCATCCTGTGGAGTTACGGCGCGCCGGACAACTACTTCCAAGAGGCCGGTTTGGGCGTGATGTTCGGGGGAGCGGCGGGCGGCCTGCTGTTCCTCATGCTGTACTACGGGTGCTTCCACCCCGACAGGGCCTCAACTTGGGGCTGGCAGTGGCTGCGCGAACGAAGGGCGAAGAGACCGCAGCGATCGGCTGTGGTATAGAGGGCGCAGGCCTAAGGGAGGGAGGGTGCGCGGGGTCAAGTGTTTTCGATTTGCATTATATAA